CGTGTTTTACGAGCAAGGTAAAATGACCAGTAGTGGGCATGCAATATGATGTTTCGTGAGAGTAGTAGTGAAAAGTCAGGATCAAACTAAGCTTAGTAGAACTCACACAAACTATTAAAATATTTGAAATGTGTTAGTATCACGAAGCGCCGTCACAATAATATAAACAAACGTTCTTCTTAACATACACAACAAATCAATGGTCCCAGAATTTCTAAATCGATTAACAGTGGTCGACATCTGTGAGGGGGCCTTTGGGAATAGTTATTGCTGTATAAATGCTAGCGATAAACAGTTAATATGAACATTCTATCTCACAGGCCACGCTACAAAGTGAGCATTTAAACACATCTTCAATGTTGATATTCTCGCTAACTGTAAAGCGATGTTGCAAAGTTTCAAGATGAGTCATTTTTCACCGTATTACATAATAAAGTTCCATATCTTATAAACACGTTTTTGATTCTATGCATAAAAATAGGTGAAAATCTGAGAAAAACCCTTTCATAATCGATACATATTATCAGATGCCTGTCGACTACTGTAAGCAGCATCTTGTCGGACTCCAGATACTATTAATAGTAGTTATGATGCACATCAAGTATTATATAACCTACAATCTCCTGTACTAGTAAGTAGTATTAATAATAGGAGGTTTTATTATAAAACGAATCTTGCATAACCTAAAATATGTACTACTCCGGAGTACGTAGTATCTCCGTACGGATACAATGTACGGATACAAGTATACTATCTATCTATCATCACTGTAACCAACTTTTTATTGACCCTTTACAAAATAATAATACCACTTGGTTGAAAATCTACGTATGAATCGACCAATTCTTCGCCAAATTCGATTTTCAGACGCAACGTCTCTTCACCACGACGTGACCGGTTGAAACTAATTTACGTCTCGTTTTTACTTTAATATTGAAAAATGAATACTACCCTGGTCCACACAAATGTATCAACATTTTTTGACTTGATTAAAGTAATGCTTTTTAGAAAAATTACCTTCGTAATATAATATATGTATCATATTATAGAGGTTTATACACCCAAAATAAGTGAAATACTGAAACAAGTGTTTTTATCGAGCCCTGACTCGCTGTTCGGGTACACCATCCATGCATAACTTGTAGATATATAGGATTGGAACAAGGTACCAAGAGATGGTCAAATTTTACGATATCCTGTTGCCACCAGAGAGTGTGCTATGTTCTTCAGTTGTTTGTTGTGAATTGTTGGAAGTTTCGAGGTGACGTGCACCATACTATTTTTTCTGAAAGTTGGCAATAACTGGGGATCATTGCGTTTCTTTCCAATTATCAATCGGTTTGATCCACACGACAACCAACCAAATTGTTCGAATTACTTTGAGGGTGAGTCTGGATATATCCAAAAAATGCCAAAATCCTCAATTTTTTTGGCAATTTCTTACAAATCGGCAAGAAGTGAACATTTCTCTGTGTGGATCCAAAAACTTGGAGAATCCAATCCTAGTATTTTGCCAAATAATGCATGTTTTGCCAATAGAAATAAACGAGGTTCAAGTGTTTATTTCATAATGCATACAAAGCAAAAGATACTCAAGCATAATTAGCGTTAAAAATTGCGTGTCCAACTGTTTCTCAACTCTACATTCAATACTGAAATCAAATGCAAAAAGGGCAAACGACTGGTTTGATGAATTTCAATACTTTTGAGTTTGTTGAAACATAACTTGGCTAAAAATACTCCAAATTCCGATCAATTCGAGTTCATGGGTAGGTAGGTAGAGCATTCTTTCCCGTACAACTGTATAAGTTCAGAATTTTCCAATTTTCATTTCGTCACAAGATTTGGCCAACAAGCTAAGGGGTCGAAATGAGGGCAATACTTGGCCGTTTAATTTAGGGTATATATATATATATATATTCTCTATCATCACCTTTCGATAGGTTATCCTGCATCGCATGCTTTTGCTTATTTACAACAGGTATGTATATCTATCTCTATCTACATTCAGTGTGTATATTTATCTATTCAAAGCCCCGATGGACCAATTCTTGGCGGCTCTCTTCCTTGCCCACAACCACAGCATGGGTCTTGGCGGCCTTGGCCAGATGATCTGTCGCCACTCGCACGAGGTCGGCTTTGGTTACACCCAGCAGCTGCGATCGACGCGCTTGAAGCATGTCGTGGGTGAATCCCCTCGTAAACAGCCCCTTGCCCTAATATTATTGATTATATTTCAAACAAATCCACCATTTTAAAGTAATAATAGACGACCTTGGCAGACGGAGCTTGGGGTGCGTCGATACTGGAAAAGGTCGCCAGAAGAGCCTGGTGGACGTCTTCGTCGGTGAAATGGCCGCCGACGGCAAACTCGACGGCGTCCGCATAGGCGTCCAAGGTCTGGCAAGTGTGCGGATCAAAGTACGAGCTCATGGTAAAGACTCCCTCGCCCTAGATATATATAAATATATATATATATCATAATATATAGATGAGATGTCATGTACGACTATTGGTTTTGCATTCGACACAACATACAGTAATATAGACAAAGCACCTATAGTGATTCCGTTTTAATCGAACTCAAAAGTACACCATTTCATACTATTATCAAAAGTGTATGTTATATAATGGCATTTTAAAAATTGATCAATTGGGACAAATACTTTTATTGGCTCGTGGATCTGGATATTATAATTAAACATAGTATTTCATTATAATATAAAAACGAGCGTATACGACCATATACATCTGCATAAAAATATCCTCTCGATCCTCGTACAAATCTCTCGACACTATCTATCTATGTATATATATATATATATTATATATACACGACTGCAAATCATCAATCTATCTAGTACACCCTGTATATATATATATACCTGGGAGGCACTGCAGCCGTACGCACCGCCCCGTTCGCGTACATGTTGATGCAGATAACACGATGACAGCACTTGACCGAGTACACTGAGCGCCGGATGATCCGGATGGAAGAGTGGGACACTGGCAAATGTCTTGACGTTAAAGTTCACTGAGAGGCTGGGGTAGCCAAAGAACAATAAAGCGTTCTTGTCGGGTTGGTTGTTTGTCGGCAATACTGGAGGCAACAGCCCCCCATGTACCAACTTCCCGGCCAAATCATCTTGTTTCTGGTGCTGCCACGTCATTTTGGCCAGTTCAGCGTCCACTTGGGTCACAAGGTGGGGTTCTGTGACCACAGACAACCCCATCTGATCTCGGCGAAATGTTAGCGCAGCCAACCGCCGAAAGATGGCGCCCAGAGCGTCCAGCGCCGCGGGATCGGCTTCGATGGCGTCGGCCCACTGCTGAAGCGCCGCTATGGACGTCATACCCCGCGCGGATTCCACCGCCGGCGCATACGAAGTGAGCCCCATGGCCGCCCGATACGCTGCGAGAGAGTGGCCGGTGGATGCGATGCTGGCATTGGCGGCCGCAGATGCACTCAGGACCAATGATTTGATCTGGGCCAGGTTGGGGGGGGTTGTGTACTGGGTATCGGCAAACAATTGCTCGAGAATTCTAAGGGTATTCGATACATGGTGGGGTAAACACAGCGTCTCGACCACCAACGCTTCAGAGTAGCACGAAGTGTCGTGAGTGTCTACATATATATTTTTAATATGAAGAAAGGGTTAAGGGGTGTTGTTATATATATAATACATATATATATATCGACGTGAATTTGGGGGTAGTATCAACGCAATGAATACCGAGTATAACATGATATACAGTTCGTATCAAGGGACATGTATAGAGTTGAATTTGATTGGATACAAAGAATATCAACGTTGCAACATGATTGGCTACAATGAGTGAAAACTCGTCGCAAGGAGACAAACCTCTTGGATATTTATATATATCATATGTCGCAGGTCCGGCGATATTGGTTCTTTATTGCGCCAAAACAACTGCCGAGGAAATATATGACGACTACACACAATATATATATATATACATACATACGATAGAAATCATTATATACGTTCCAATATGGACGTCCCAGTAGAATTTTAAAAATGAATTAGATCAATGTCGTACTTGTCCTAGCCAATCAATCATATTACACATACATATGAACCAAGCATTGATCACCATTGTCGTTTAGTATATACCATACACGGAATAAGCTGAAAATCCGACTCAAAAATCTATTCTTAAAAATCAACACCTGCCAAGTCCATAAATTCCAGCGAAAACGACCATAGATATAGATATTTGAGTACATAGGAACTGTACAGTACATCGAGTATATATATATATATACGATCGATAGAATAGATATATATATAAATACCTGGTAGAATGAGATGGCTGCAACTGACGCCACCACTGACTGTCTGCAGTACAGTACCAATTTCGTCAAACTTATATTTGGACGTTCCTAGTTGGCCCAACATGGCTGAAAAGAGAGGAATAAACCAGCGGAGGTCCTCGGGCACGGCGGAAATGTCAAATTTCATGCGTATGTACCTATAAAACATCATACAAACAGTAGAGATTAGATATATATATATTGTGCTTTTGAGTGAAATTTCGTGTTGTGGTGTCTCGTTGGAATTTAAATCGAACATTTGATTGGCTACCTCCGATGAGCTCAAAAGTATTAGCCAATCAAAACTTTCTCAATCAAATTCAACAACCAATCAGATCGATTGTGGATCGGTTTGCGCGATTCGATTGCACCCCAAATTTGTACAATATACAACGACATTTTATATATCCTACTACTGACTACGTCTACTTAATAGAGAATCTCAATCAACGCCGATCCGCAAACAGGGATTGCATACGGTCATGTTTCCAATACATAAATATATATATATATATATATATAGAATGCCAGATCCAAGCCTATATATATATATATATAATATGTATTGGCATTCCCTACGCCAGTCTGTCCATATATCTATCTTGTCAATGTTTTTCAAATGTCCATGGTTTGTATTGGCAAACCACGGCACGACATGTGATTGGCTAATAATACTATCCACTTTGCAATTCGAAACCGAATTGTAGCCAATCCGCGTCAAGGAATTTCAGATCTTGGACCAATGGGAGAGAGAGAGATTGGAGTCCACTCCCGTTGTTTAAAATTTCTATACCAAAGTCTCCAACATATATATATAAATTCCATATCAAAGTATATATATATATATATATATATACAACCAATAATCAGGAGGTGTGTTTCGTACGTGAGTTCGTTGGTGGTTTGGGGTATAAATTGGATATCAGAAGCCGCACGATATTCGACATCCAAGCGGGGCTGGTCCACAGGAATGTCGTGCAGAGTGAGGGTAGGAAGGCAGTGGACGTCTGGCGTTTGCTTCTGATGGTCCGCCAGAGTTTCCGCTTGAATTTCGATGGCTTTTCGTTGTTTGGGGGTCAGAGTCTCAGCTATTAAATCCAATTCACGGCGTTCATTGGCTTGTTGATCTGACACGAACGAAGTGGATGGTGTCATGACCAGCGCCACGCCCGAGCGTAAATGAGGCTGTACAATGTACTTGTCTAGCATCTCTTGCAGAAACCGCGGGTTCGCTGCCATCTAGTAGAATATATATAGGAATTGTTTCAATTATATATATATATATATATATGGATACTTTGTATACATATTGTAGAATATACATAGGAATAGTTGCATTATATATATATGGATACTTTGTATACATATAGTAGAATATACATAGGAATAGTTGCATAATATATATAGTATATATATATAAATATATATGGATACGTGGTATACATATTGTAGAATATACATAGGAATAGTTTCATTATATATATATATATATATATGGATACTTTGAATACAAATAGTAGAATATACATAGGAATAGTTTCATTATATATATATATATATATATATGGATACTTTGTATACATACATCGGCGTGGAATCGATCGAGAAACGGATGGATGGAGAGGGCGTCGAGGTAGTTGCCGCGGTGGCACCATGTGCTCGTGACACCACGGAGCAACGACATGCCAAACCGGCCGACAATGTGCTTTTGACTCAATTCAATCTATAATTCGTATATTTTAATATATATATATATATATATTTATATAATTTATATGTTCTTACTTGATGCAATACGGCGTCGATGCGCGCATGATCAAATCCGTCTTGGACGACTTGGACCAACGTATCTTGAATGGAGCGTTTGATCGTGTCCAAATCTTCAAATCCTATAAATAAATGAATAGATGAAAAAGATCGAGAAAATAGGATGTTTACCCTGCAAATCCTATAAATGAATAGATGAATAGATGAAGGATTTTTTAAATTCGATAACACAAGACTAGGATTCGTACAAAAGGATGGGGGATCTCTCGATTTTATATATTTCGATACATTTATTATTCACCATTCGACATGGGGAATATGCAGCTGGGGGTTTATGTATATATAGTAGATAAATATATATACCTTCATATATAATAGATAAATATATATACCTTCATATATAATAGATAAATATATATACCTTCAACGCCCACCCCAAACGTCGGATTGACGGTAGATGTATCGAATCCAGTGCCAGGGCCAAAGTCCACGGCCAATTCCGACGTAATAAGCGCTTGATAGAGCGGCGCCGATGGGCCATTGAGTAGTAAATACGACAGCAGACGCAGTACAAAGCACTCGTACAAGTCGGTACTTAGCAATTCAGGTACAATATGGGCATGGCACCACTTGGTTTGCGACGCTGGTGTTGGACTTACCCCTATTTAATCGATTAGTGGCAAGAAATAAATAATATTTAATCCATGTCATTTTAACCAAAATAGAATATATTACACGAAATACTAGTAATCACTGGGATAAAGTGGAAGCATCATTTAACGTAAAATTGCAATTGAACGGGCGGCTCGGTTTTATTCGCGTGCACGAGCATCAGCCAATCAAATCATTGAAAAGAAAGGTTTAAACGAACCCAACGTATATATATATATATATATGCAAGGGGTATTTCATACCCAGTGTACGATCGTGAATTATAACAGGAAAAACATCTAAATAGAGATGGTGGCTACAATTTGTAACATATTGTCGAATTATAATTCAATATACCAACGAGTTAGATGCATTTTCCACAGCAGCGTGACCAAAAGGTGTATTTGAATACAATGTTCTACATATGTCTGCGTTACAGTTCACATTCCTTCTACTGAAATAAAACATACCAGTCCAATAAGCAATCCCCAACTAACTATAATTCCGAAAATCATATATATGTATATATATATATACATGTTATGATTCAGATATATATATATATATATATATATATATATAAATCATCACACTTGCCGTCGTCAATAATCAATCCCCAACAACTATGATCCCGAAAATCATATATATATATATATATATGCACTTGTTATGATTCAGAAATATATATATATATATATACAAATCATCACACTTGCCGTCGTCGGGGCCCGTGACGTGGCGCTCAGAGACGACGCCAGCCATCCGTTTGAAATTGGACGCTGGTAACGGGGCAATCACCACGGGGGGTGGGGAAGGGTTGGTTGTTTCAGAGAACTGGGATAAGACCGATGTGGCGATTGTGTCGAGATGGGATTCAAGGGGAAAATTCCCATACGAGTAAAACAAGCAGTTGGACGGGTGGTACTTGGACCGGTGGAACTCGACCAGTTCATCGTGGGTGAGCGTCGTCAAGTCCGTGGATGGATCGCCGCCGCTCACGTGCTCGTAGATGGAGCCATGCATGAGTTCCGTCTGCAGTCGGGTAGAGAACAGCGTTTGGCTGTCGGATAGCACGCCCTTCATCTCGTTCAGAACCACACCCTTGTACTGGAGCTGCTGTTGTTGCTGTTGTGGGGAATTTTCCCACTCAACGCGATGGCCTTCCTGGGAAAAGTCCAACGCACTCAGCGTCGGAAAGAACGCCGCGTCGAGGTACACGGCGAGGAGGTTCTCAAAGTCCTTGGCGTTGGTCGTGGCGAACGGGTACATGGTGTGGTCGCTGGCCGTCATGGCGTTCATAAAGTTGTTCAGGCTGCGCTTGAGCATGTTGAAGAACGGATCCCGCACGGGGTATCGCTTGGAGCCGCACAGGACGAGGTGTTCCAGCTGTGCACGATGGACGAGAAAGGACGGGTGAAGAACGAAGGAAGGAGATGAAGGAAGGGGTAAAGGGACGTACGATGTGCGAGATGCCGTTGGACGAGTATGGCGGGGTGCGGAAGTTGATGCTACACCACAAGGGAAGGTAAGAAGAAAGGACGCGCGGGGCGGCGGTTCATGGAGTGGTGAGTGACATAAGCAGGAGAGGGATAGATACCTGAAGACGTTGTTCGTGTCCACAGTGTCGATGTGGAGATACTCTGCTTTCGTCGCAATGTGCTGCAGCTGCAACGCTGTCACGGAGTACTCAGGGATCGGTTGCTTCTTGAGCACTTGGAAGCCGTGGATCACAGATCCGACTTCGTATCGTTCCGCCAAGGGAGTTCCATGCTTCGTCGTCGAGGATGTTGTTGCCGCCGACAAGAAGCGTTGGCGAAGAGTCGATGTCGCCGCCGCCGCCGCTGGGCGATGCTTGAAGGCGCGCCACATTCTCGTGAATATTGATGATGAGTGGTCACGTCAATATGGACCCATCGGTGGGAAATATTCCTAAAACGCCAAGCTCATTGGGATAAATCCCCATGAAAATATCCATACGGTCAATCAAATATAGTACTGGTACGGTTCTTCGAAACGAGTAAAGAATTTTCATCTATTATCCCATTGAATGTACAAAATAAACAATCTCTATTTACTCATGCATGATAGATAGAAAAACATGCATAAATCATATTATCTATTATGAATTGAAGGTTCCTTCATCTATTTCATTTATTGATATATACCGCCCTCTACATGAAAAATGTGGATTGATTTTCATTTCCAAAGTTGCGGCGGCGACGCAGGAGGCCGTCGTCATCATGCTCAAGGAAGAAGATCCGTTGATCGAACTCATCCGGGAATGGATCATGGCGCCGATTGACGAGTCGGCGGGGCTGCAGCTGTCGACACTGGAAGTGTTTACGTTGGTGGAAGACATGATCAACGAACATGTCAAGCTTCCCCATGGCTCGCGCTTGAAAAAGTACATCCCCAAGGTCAAGCGCATGTTCATGCCCCTAAACCTCATGGACGCTGTGCATGCGTACGATGCTGTCACGCACTTCTCAAGACGCAAGCGCGTTCCGCCGACCTTTAAAGACGTCCGACACATCCTCAACCTCGCCACGGTACACGAACGTGACTTCCTAACGAGATCATGTACGATGATGATGATGATGGGGGACGACTGGTAGATCCATGCGATAGCACCCACGCTAAAACTTGTGACGTTCGATGCCGACGATACGATCTACGAGGACGGCGGCTCCATCAGGTACACGAATCATGCAATTGTCGACTTGTGGGTGTCCTTTCTGGAGCACTTCAACCACGTTTTCAAGCGTATGTACGTACTCTAATGGGTGCATGATGGTAGTGAATCGTCCGACATGGTGACTGTCATTGTCGAGTTGCTAAAGAAAGGCAAGGTGGTGTCGTTGGTGACGGCGGCAGGGTACCCTGGGGAGCCCCAGCGCTACGAAGCGCGACTGCGAGGGGTACGCGTCCCATGTATTGCCACCATGCACGACGTTCTTGAGAGATAGCCTGCCAACGATGAAACAACTGTTTGCATGTAGATCCTCGACGCCTTGGCGAAATTGCCCGAGGACGCGCAATCCCGCTTCTTGGTATAACTTGATCTCTGTTGGCGATCATGTCAAGCTGGTTGTAGGTTATGGGGGGTGAATGCAACTACCTCCACGTCACGTCGCGAGATGCCGATACTGGCGCAGTGTCGCTGCGCGTGGTGGACCCCGTGGAATGGAAGGACGGCCGCGGCCAGCGCTGGGACCAGGCCGAAGTGGACCAGCTCTTGGATCAGGCACAGGTATAGAACGCTACCTGTCCAAATTTGACGGATATGTTTAATATTTTTTACTTCAAAGTATTCCATTATATAAGCGAGTATCATATATAATATGTGGTTATATATGTGTTACTTGTCGACAACGGGATCACATTGTATTGATGTTTTCACGTATCTTGGCAGATTTAATACTATGGGGGCTCCTTAGTGTCATGTATATACTAGATATACATATTTATGTTTCGATATATTGTCATATACTATCAAGATCTACCGCGTCTGACGATATGTACTTCGAGGCTATATTATACATATATATATACATGTTATTCGTGAACATCGAGGCCATATTGTACATATACATGTGGTTGGGTTGGGCACATGTATGATATATATAATATATATGGTCCTAATTGTGGCTGGATGGGACGCATGATGATACATGTACTATTAATAGTATATGATACATGTAAGTATGTGATACAAGTATGTGATACATGTATATGATACATGATATATTTAGTATTCCTGGCAATATTGTTGTAATACTCATACTCTGTATATATGCATGCATAAATACTAGTCCACGTTGGAAGAGATGGTGGCGTTGTTGGACATGCCTGCCAAGATCTTGCGCAAGGAGCGGGCCGTGGGCATCTACAACCCAACGAACAAGCGATTCGTGTACGAAAACCTCGAGGAAATCGCCCTCACGGTGCAGCAAGTGCTCGTCACCAACATTCCGCACTGCGCTTTCAACGGCGGCAACGACGTGTGGGTGGACATTGGCAACAAAGCTCTCGGGATCTCGGCGCTGCAGCACTATGTTGTGCGCCTCTTGCCTGGCGACACGGTACGGATGATATATATATATATATATTAAATGTATATTTGATATATATGTGGTACATACTGTATGTAGGAACTACAAGGGCACGAATGTCTTCATGTTGGCGACCGATTCACCCGAACTGGTCAGTACAGTATATATGATTGTGTGTGTATTGTAGTGGGGATATATATTTGATAGTAATAAATATATATATAGGAAACGATACCTTGTCGAGAGATGTGTCGTCAACGGTATGGGTGTCCAACCCCCAAGAAACGGCCGACCTCGTGAAATTGCTCGTGCCATTGCTCTAACTAGTTCAGTGTACTAACGAGATGGCTTAGTATTACTACTACAACTACAGTATGAACTAGTTTATACTACGAACGTTAAATGGAGAAGGAGTTTCAAAGGAACACGTCATAACGTTAACGTTACTATAGATGAGGACCCAGCCATGTCGCGGACAAGATGGACTACAGTAGGAGGTCTGTCCAAACTTGATGGGAAGTAACTTCCCAGTACTGTAGTACCAGTAGTCACCACATCAAAGTGTGGCAATGGTACACTGTACCGTACAGTGTTATTGAGAAGCCGAAACACTGTACTATAATGCAACCATATCGGTATCTACCCATCTCCGACTGAGTTGTACCTATTATAGTAGTATTATTAATAATACCGGTAGTACTAC